AGGTGCTGGCACGGAGACTGGCCATGGCAGACAGTGTCCCCTTGTGCTGTGCTTGCTGCTCTCTCCACTCACGAGGTAGCCTTTTCCCTTCCCTGGGGGCTTGGGGAGCCTTTCCCACAGGAAACTGTGATTTGGGACCTGGCACAGTGTGGGACCTGGAGCTCCTGTCCAGCCTCCGGCGGGTGCTCGCAGCTCTGGGTGCCTTGGCAGGGTGGCCAGGTCTGCAGCCAGCCGAGGTCTGGTCGCTGAGGGGGAGCCGCAGCATGCCTGAATCGTGGCACTGTCTGTGCTGCAGCCTGTGGTGGGGTCTCTGGCTGCTGCCAGAAGCTGCTCTCCTGCCCTGGCAGCGCCGCAGGCTCCCTGCTTGCTGGGGCCGCTGCCTGCTGGAGGGGGATGGGGCTCCTCTGAGCACTGCTGGCTCTCACCTTTCCCTCTGTCTCTGAAACATGACCAGGTATTTCAGGGTCCCTGTGGAGCTCTGTGCGTGGAGCTCACACCGGCGCTGTCATGTCATGGGGTCCTTTGCATTGGGTGGGTCCCTGGGTTGCTCCCTGCTCTGCTCCCCTCATACCTTCCCAGCTTCTTGTGTTTGCGAGTGCGAGCTGTCCCCAGGCATCCCTGGGTGCATGCTGGAGGTGACAGCATGCTCCTTTTCCTGGTCCCTGTGCCAGTTTCCTCTCTGTTGTGAAGATGAGTCACACCGGTGTCACCATGTTGTGCTCCGGAGGAAGGGCAGAGCTGAGCTGCTGATGGTGACAGGCAGCACCACGCTCCGCACTGCTGCCAGGCTCTGCCTCGTGGATCACTGACTGTGGCGGCACTGGGGCCTGGGGTCTGCTAACCAGAGAGCAAGGGCTCGCCCTGGCTTCCCCCTTCCAATCTCTCATTTAGCTGGAGTTCCTCGCACAGTGTCAGGGGGCATCTCCTCCAGTCCGGTTGCGACTGGGGAGGCAGGCTTCCCATCCCGGTTGCTCCCAGCCCTGTGCCCAGATAGGCCTGTCCCGGCTGGAGAAGGGGTTCCTGACTGCTGCAGACCGTGGCGGCAGGAGGCACGTCTTCTCTTGCCTCACCTCTCCTCTCGTTCGGTGCCCTTCTCCCCTCCTGGTTGGTCTCCCGTGTTTGTAAGCACAGAGCCTAAGTACATATTGGGCAATAGGCAAGGTAAACAGCAGCTCCGCGCCGGAGCAGGCGTGCCGGGACACCCTGCCGAGCTGGCCA